GAGAGAGAGAGAGAGAGAGAGAGAAACAGATGGGCAGACAGAGAGACAGAGACAACAGAGACAGACATACAGTCAGAAACAGGGAGATGGAGACAGAGAGGGAGAGGGAATGGGAGCGGGAGATTGAGACAGACAGAGATGGAGACAGAATGACTGAGAAACTGCCATTTGATTTTGTGCCACCAACTTCAGAAGGTTCTATAAAGTGCTCATTCAAGCAACAATTTATTTGTCTTCATAACAAAACTCCCCAGATTACCATGGCTTCTCCAGTGAGATACCTGGGAAAACTCTTCAAGTGAATATGATGGAACCAAAGTCCCTTGAGAACAGTTTGGAGACAACTCTGGGCATGAATGCCTGATGAGCTGTGCTTTGAGGATGAGGGGCTTTCTCTTGAATCTCAATGACCCTCAGAGGAAAGGAAGCATTTCCATTCACAAATAGTGCACCTCTTTGGAACCAGTTCTTTGGAGGGAACAATTAGAGTGACAATCTGATGTATCAGAGTTTATTTGAGGTTCTCATAGACAGAACTTATGTTTGCACATTGCAGATATTTATGTTGAAGAAGAAACTCTTGTTGAAGTTCTGTATTTATGTAATTCTGTGTCTTTATTCTCCTAGCATACTATCAGAGCAAAGTCATTCAGTAGCCGTATGTAAGGTTCTGTTCCTAATTTCTGTTGAGCTGAGTACAAAGGAGAAGAATAAGTTGTATAATTGTAAGAGGGTACAGGCTTGAGATTCTAATTTCTCTGCAATTTTGGGCCTTTAATTTCTCTTCTGTCTTCATCTTTTTATACTATATTCAAACAATTTTCTTTAGAATTTCCTTTAGTGTTCTTTGAACCATTATTCAATGTTCAGAGCTTAGGGAGAGCTTACCATGCCTAGAACCATAAAGCAAATAAAAAATAATATAATGGAAAATAGGGCCCTGGGAGATAGCTCAGTAGAATAAGCACTTGCCTGGCAAGTGAAGGGTGCTGAGTTCAATCCCTAGTACAAAAAAAGAAAAGAAAGAGAGATAGATCATTGTATGATAGTCCCTGAGGTGGTATCTAGATGTTCTCAGGCATATCTTCACAGAAAGCCTACCAGAGGAAATACTACAGTGTTTGACTGACTCAGTTATTCTTCACTCATTGCTGGGACAAATATACAACACCCTAAATGAAGGAAGGAAATGTTTATTTAGCTCACAGTTAAAACTCAGATGACTCCAGGGCAGAGTGGCACAGGGCAGAAAGCAAAATGGAGGAGTAGCAGCAACAATAGCTACTGAGAGAGGAAATCTGTCTCTCTGTATCTATTATATTACACTCAGGCTATCCACCCAAGGCTGGGGGAAGTACTGTCACCCATAATCCCAGAAGTACTAAGACCCATAATCTCAGTGGATCATGAGTTAATCTCAAACTCTACAAGTTCCTGCCCCATGACTGAATGAGGCTTTGGGGGGACAACTAGACACAAATCATAATGTTGACTCTTCAATTCACTTATCCCAAGACCAACATGATAGAAAATTAACAAAGGTTATTACATTGCATTGTTATCCTTAAAGCAGTTGCTCAGATTACCAGATACAGGCATGCAAAATCAATCAAACATTAAAAGCACTAACAGTTCATTTCAATGTACTAATAGAAATTAGTAGAACAATTATCTTAGCTATCTCATGTACATATATAATTCTTCCCCCACCTTCTGTTTTCTCCATCCCTGTTGTTCTTTTATTTTGGGCAGTTTCTCTTCCTTTCACTACATATATTACACCTTTTGGATCTTATTTACTCTTTCATGTTCTTACACTAGAGAGACAATATGATGTTTACACATGTGTGTCTAATCTATTTCACTGATGAGTATCGTCTCTAGTTGTGTTCATCTACCTACAAAAGCCAGGAGTTTATCTTTCTTCATAGCTGAGTAGTATTCCATTGTGTAAAATTACCACATCTTTTTTATCCATTCCTCAGATGATGGGCATTTGGCTTGTTTTCACGATTCAGCTATGATAAATTGGATGGCTATAAACTCAGGTGTACA